GCTTGAATAATTCTTTCAGTCGACTTAGTTATTGCATGAGAGATTGAAGTACAGAGGCTATTATAAATATTGCTGTATGTAACTTGTGTTAATTTTTCACTGATATTAGAAAAGTTCTGTAACATAATATTTAAAACTACATCACCAGGTGCTGTAAAGATATATGTAGCATAGTTCAGGGGACTAAAGCAATGATGACTCAGTCCTATATGTGTTTCCATGATCCTGGGGACTGGTCAGGTCTCTGGTATGACTTAATAGCCTTAAGGTTATATGACTGAGTTAAGCTAGTTATGACTCACTATCCTAAATGCAAGAGAGGCTAAGGCAAAAAGTTCTTCTATTTCTGCCTCCTGCAAACATTCCCTGCAGTCAAAGCCTGGCAAGGGGTGACAAAAGTCACTGTCATTCTAGAAATTCATCTTATGTAAGGAGCATCCTTGGGCAGTCAGTTAAACAACATTTCCAACCACTTTGTGCCAAGTGGACCAGAGAATTGAAATCTTAAATCTACATGCAACTCTTTCTTCTATGACAAGATTTTTTTTATCCTACACTATTTGAAGAAGAGACAGTTTGCAACTCAATTTCTTTAAGTCAGGATAATATGTGATTATTTGGTATTTCCATTTATGACCATACTAGTTCTTGGATAGATGGCACACCATTTTCTGTAATGCAGAGTTTTTTATGGGCCATAGAATCATTGAGAGAATCATGCAGTCATAGAAAGAAAAAATTATACTTTGAGTTCTCAATTCCTTGGCATGTGGAGTAATGTCCTGCATCAAGAAACACCAGGATGATATCAGTATAGTCTTCAAAAACACAATTGTTAACATGAATTTACTCCAAGATGAAGTCTTAATTTTATTTTTCTAATATACTCTTAAGTGGTTGTTTTTATTGTGGTGGAGTATATCATGCATCAGTCTAGGTAGTCATGTGCTCTCATCACCACTGTGTTTGGGCATTTACGACTGCTTCCTTTTGATTCGCATACTATAGGTTGCCTTAGCCTCTCTTGCATTTAGGATAGTGAGTCATAACTAGCTTAACTCAGTCATATAACCTTAAGGCTATTAAGTCATATAACCTAAGTCATACCTGCCAAAGACTATTCATCCATTCCCAATGAAAACTGACAGCTGTGATGCAAGCCACATTATACTAGCATGTAAAGGTGTTTCTCTGATTTTGCTTATTTCTGTATGGTGTGTTCTCTATGTTCACAGTCTATAAGCCCATTGTGTTAGAAGAAATGCTTCACAACTTGGATTTCTGTGACATTTTGGTTATTGGCTTGGAGCTAGATCCCAGACAGGAATGTTTAGAGCTGGATCATAAGGAAATTCAAGGAAAACATCTAGATGCTACAAATTCCACAACAGGCTATTCAATCTATGGTACGCTCATGGACCTCCCTTCTTTCTATTTCAATTACATTTTTCAAATGAAAGGGCTAGTTTGTTTTTTCCTGGTAAGGCTGAAGAGAACTTACCATAGACAAGCTGTACAGCAGCTTGTACCATGGAAAAGCACAGTTTTACCCTGAGCTCCATGGTGTAGCCCACCCCTCCCGCCCCTGTGTGTAACTAGGGTGCTTACAGAAGTTTAGGGGCTGCGCTCTAACTTGTGGTGCTATACACAAAGTGCAGTGAGTTAAGAGCCCCCTCCCAAGCCTTTTGGGTCATGGAGGCTCAAGGCTACCTGCACTGGCCCTGGCCAGTAAGTGGGAGTGCTCCAGCAGCCTCTGAGGAGGCTGCCACACCAGCCCTGTCCCCAGCCCTGCCTCCCCCTCAGCTCTGATCACAGCAAAGCCAATCCGACAGCTGTAGGCTGCCCCTGTCAAGAGGCTTGGGTGGGCGGACAAAGGGGATTTCCTTTCCCTCACCCCCAGCTCAAGCCTCTTGACAGCAACAGCATGCAGCTGCCAGCTTGGCTCTGCCTTGGCCGGAACTAGGTTCGGGGCAGGGTGGAACAGAGTACCCTTGTTTCACATGCCCAGCCTGGCTCCCCCCTATATCCTAGCTGGGGTAACTCAGAGGAGCCCATGAGGCAAAGGGACTCCGTTCCACTCCCCAACCCCAGCTCTGACCATGGCAATGCCCAGCTGGCAGCTGCGTGCTGGCCCCTCATCCTCTGCCTTTGCCTCCCACTTTCTGCCCCCCTGGCTGACAGCCCCAGGGGTGGGGCTGGGCCAGTGCTTGCTGTTAGCCGTCAAGGGAACCTGAACACTGTGCACTATAGCACCTCCAGCTAATAGCTGATTTATCAAGGGTTAATTTTTCATGTGACCACCCATTTTAAAAGCACTCTGCAGCCCTCGGTGTGTGTTATGTCACAGCTGTAGGCAGTTTCAGGAGCCAGATCGTGTGAAAAATGTAACTTGTGTAAGTACCCTAATTCACCTTATTGGAGTCAACATCTGCAAACCACTTGCAGGGAAACAAGAGACTCCTCCACAAACATACAGTGGAGCAGAATCTGTGTTCCCTTTGACTGGAAAAAGCTATAACAAGTTGTATAAAACAGTATACAAGGAGAGGGGCTACATTTGGTTACCAGCTCAGCAGTGACCACTGCCTAACTATTGCAGTTCATATTATAATCTGGGTTACAATATTTGAATTATTTTTCCTCTCTATTATGGAAATACAAGATTTTGTTAAAGTCCCTAATGACCTAACATTTCTCTCACTTAATTTGATGTGAGTTGGAATCCTTGATACATTCCTATTTTCATAATGTTCTGTTCAAATTATTGTTCTTTCTCATATCACGTAATTTCCCTGTACAGTACAATGCTTCTACAGTACAGTACAGATACAAAGGTTTTTACAATGTT